GTCATTTTCTATAGTTGTTAATATAAACAAGTGTAAAAACTTTTTTTGTACTTTGCTCTACATGTAGCACTTGAGTTTTCTTAAGTCATTTGCCATTTCCTAAATATCATCCTTATATTCGAAGTCATGCTATGTTTATTTTTAAAAGAAAAAACAATGTCTGCTTAGCAAAAATAATCAGCTAAAGTACTTACAGATGGTGCATGTTGCGGTGAATCCTTCCTTCCTTCCTCCCTGCCTGCCTCCCTCCCTCCCTCCCTCCCTCCCTTTTCTTCCTTTTCTTCCTTTTCTTTCATAGCCAGTCTTCTTGAAAAAGCATTTAAGAGAGAGAAAGAGAGAATGAGAATACCTGTCTGCTGGTTTACTTCTCAAATGACAACCAGGACTAGGCTGGGCTGGATTCAAGAGCTGGGAACTCAATTCATATTTTCAACAGGGTAACAAGGACCCAACTACTTTAGCCATTACTTGCTTCCTTCTAGGGTCTGCATTAGCAGGAAGCTACAGTCTGGAGTGGGGCCAGGTACTCTGAAATGGGACATGGGCATCTTAACTGGCCCTTTAACCAGTAGGCCAAATAGCTGCCCTATCTCAGTGAATTTTAAGTCAAGCCATTTCCTGAAAACTGGACTACTGATTGTGTTACTCTCCTGATTGTGTCCCAAGCCTGACAGTGATGAGAATGGTGTCATCAGCCTGGCACACTGGCACTTACGATGTCACCCCTGCTTCATCCTTCCTCCTCCTCTAAGAGGCCTTTACTTGCGCTGTGCATGCCAGCCAAGCCGTGTACTTCCAGCTTCCCCACTGGCTCTTTGGTGACTTGTCCAGATTCTCCCCTGCCTGTCTTAATTCCTTGTCCCTCTTTAGGACTCTCTTTATAGAGACCCCTCGTCAGCAGCCCTATTCTGACCTTTCTGCTCCCTCGCTTCCACTCTGAACAGCATGTCCCTTCTGTTGCGTCTTGTCTGTGTACTTAACCCACTGTGATTGTGTGATGATTGTACTTCTTTGTAATGTTTTTCATCTGTCTATATTCCCAACTAGACTTTGATGTACCCAGGGCCAAGGACTTCATCTAATTTTGTCTGTGTCACCAGCCCCAGCCCCAGCAAGTGCACGGTGTGTATTCAGTGGCTGTGTTGAATGGAGAAATGGAGAATCAGTAGATGACTGTTCTCCTGCAGGACTTCTGATCACTGGCCTGGTATCCTCCAGACCGCATAAATTTGGTCCTCGTTTTTCTTGTTTCAGGTCCTTTAAAACGTTCTTTTGCAATTTTTCTCTCCTTGGATTCTCAGTTGATTGGGATACTCCAGAGTCACTGGGTAATTTGGAGCCTTATGGAGCATGCTAGACAACAAGTATCTTGAGAACACTTTATTTCATTGCACTTGTGAAGTCCTTTGTTTTTCCCCATATGTTGATCAGAGCTGTGGAATAATTTAGCAGCTATTTACAGTTTGTCTGCAATGTGCTAGATGTGGAATTAGGTGCTAGGGATACAGAGAATCTTAAAGGCACAGATTCTATCCTAAGGAGTCTCACTGTTTCCACATATAAGTGACTAGATGATCTGAATGTAGTAGGAAGCATTCTTTGACATAGGTAAGCTCAGAGCACTCTAGGAGCGCGTAGGCCTTGTTTGTAACCTGGAGGGGAAATGGTGTCAGAGGAGGCTCCCAGGGAAGTGAACTCCTGAACTGATTCTGGAAGCATAGGCAAGGGAAGGCCCGAGAAAGCCTGAGACTTTTTTGTTTTTCAAATAACTGTAGTTTTGTACTTGTCTTTGAAATAAGATTCTCCTACAGTGTGCGTTAAAATGGGAACCTAGCAGGACATTCCCATATAATTATCTTTCCTGTATAAATTGTACTCCATGGCTTCTCACTCAGATTCCTTAGCTAGCCTGGTATTCAAGGTCATTTATAATTTATTCTCACTTTGTCTTTCCAACAATAACTTTTTTGTGTAACTCAGGATCAGTGATCTATGGCCTACAGACCAAATCTAGCCCACTGCTAGATTTGTTGTTTTTGAGCAGCCCTTAGTTAAGACTGAGTATAACATCATTTTAAAGAATTGCAAAAACCAGCCAACCACACAAGCAAGCAAACAAAAGCATGTGTGACAGTGGCTCTGTGTGGCCTGCAAAGCCTCACACGTTTCTCTGGCTCTTGATCTCCTCTTCTGTCTGAAGTGCTCGAGTGGTGATACAGATGTCATAGCTTTGCCAGGTCTACAGGTGTGCTTTTCCTGTTTTGTCTTTTGAAACATTGTCATTCTTCCGTTCATTAATTGTTTGACAAAGGGGCATTTCTCCTGTACGAGCCACCTTTCTGGGTTCTGGGAATTCAGCAGTGACAGGCAGAGCAAGCAGACAGAAACTGAGTATGTCAGTTCTGAACAAAAAATAATGCAGGTAAAGGAGAAAGAGGTGGAGGGGTGCTGGGTCTTACAGAACAGTCCGAGAGGCACTCTGATAAAAGACATTTATATTGCATCCTGAGGGAAGCACGGGAGGAAGCCGTGAGGCTGCCTGGGAGGACATTGCAAGCTCAGACATCAAATACAGAGGCTTGAGGGACCACAAGGAGGCCAGTATGTTCGGAGTGGAGTGAGGATGTGGAGAAAGATAAATGTTGGGAGTAGAGAGGCAGGGCAAGGTGAAAAGAAGATCTTGTAGGGCTTAATGGGGCATTAAATGCTCAGTTTTGGTCTTAGTGACTTGGGAGACCATTCAGTAGAAGGGACCAGAGGAGGGAGGTGATCAGATACATGTCTGCAGAATATCACTGACCCACCAGGTGCTGCTGGAGGAACTCATCAACCCAAGCCTCACAGCGATTCAACTCAGCCAGTCTCCCCTTGGAGGCTTCCCACCAGCTGGGCAGCTGGTGTGATGGCCTCAGGCCAGGAGGATCCATTCTCTTCCTGTCACATTCCATGGGCCTAGCTACTCACCCAGCCCCATCTAATAAACACAGGGGTTGAGAAGCGCAGAAGCAGATGGGATGCTTGGTAAGCACTACTGTCTGCTTGAGCCCGCCTTGTGTCCACCAAACCTCCTCCTTCCCACCACGGAACACACTGCAGCCTTCTGCCAGAGGAGGCTGCCTGGGGTTCCCAGGTCCCACCATGGCGCTCCATGGCAACAGGGCCAGCAGATGGGCAGCCTGTCCCGCCATGACCCAGGCAGGAAATGAGCAAGCATTGGAGGCCCGGTCCCGTATGGACAGCAGCCCCACTTTCTCAGCCTGCCAGGAGAAGGCTGAAGGCCCAAGGTTAATTAAGCTTCAGTCAAGCGTGTTGAGCTCTGGCTTGTGCTTTCTTGGGCAGCGCCACCATCTCAGAAACCTAGTGGGAATTTTGTTTAGTTTTCTCAGTATCACATGCGCATAATCACGCTTGCTTTGTGATGTTGTTCTGAGTCATGAGCGTCTTTAGTGTATGAGCTCTCCCTCCCCCAAGCACCTCTGTCTCAATGTCAAGGTTGCTGCCTTAGAATTGTTAGGTTTCTGTGGAGGTTCTCTGTCCTTAGTTCGTCCATTTGAATGTGATCACAGTTGTCACATCCTTGGTTTATCTTTCCTCTGAAGCATTTTAATCTAAAGTTTCACTTGACATTTTTAACTGGGGATTTCTTAATCTTATTTCTTACTACTAAGGTCTAAAATTAGTAAGTTTTTTTTTTTTTTTTTTACTAAGAGGGATAATGTATTAAGTTGTTCATTAACAGTCAGGGCTATGCTGATCAAGTCACCATTTCTCATAGTGTCCATTTCACTTCAGGAGGTTTCCTTTTTGGTGTTCAGTCAGTTGTCACCGATCAGGGAGAACATCTGGTATTTGTCCCTTTGGGACTGGCTTACTTCACTCAGCATGATGTGTTCCAGATTCCTCCATTTTGTTGCAAATGACTGGATTTCGTTGTTTCTTACTGCAGTATAGTATTCTAAAGAGTACATATCCCATAATTTCTTTATCCAGTCTACCGTTGATGGGCATTTAGGTTGGTTCCAGGTCTTGGCTATTGTGAATTGTGCTGCAATAAACATTGGGGTGCAGACCACTTTTTTGTTTGTCAATTTGTAAGTTTTTTTTTTTTTTAACCCTGTCCAGTCTCAAATGTCCGAGCTGTTTCTCTGTTCTGTTTCATTCCTGTTCACCATCTGGACAGTATTTTGCTAAACTCACCTCTCTATATCTGGATCTGGATCTCACTGCATCTGTGACATCCAGCACATGCATTGGTGTTTCATTTCCCAGCATTGCGCTAGAGCCACAGGTTCATCAGGGATGTGATCTGCTCCCCAAGTCAACACAAACATCAAGCTTGTTAAATATTTCATTATAACATACCATGGGGCCGGCGCCACGGCTCACTAGGCTAATCCTCCACCTTGCGGCGCCGGCACACCGGGTTCTAGTCCCGGTCAGGGCGCCGGATTCTATCCCGGTTGCCCCTCTTCCAGGCCAGCTCTCTGCTGTGGCCAGGGAGTGCAGTGGAGGATGGCCCAAGTACTTGGGCCCTGCACCCCATGGGAGACCAGGAGAAGCACCTGGCTCCTGCCTTTGGATAGGCGTGGTGTGCTGGCTGCAGCGCGCCAGCCACGACGGCCATTGGAGGGTGAACCAACGGCGCAGGAAGACCTTTCTCTCTGTCTCTCTCTCTCACTGTCCACTCTGCCTGTAAAAAAAAAAAAAAAAATGGATGGCTAGTTTTGCAATTTCTGATGTCTGAAAATCAAACACATACATAGCCTGATTCTGGCTACCTGTTGAATGCGAGACTGGGCAGGGTGTGCAGTGGCTTGGTACTATGTAGTCCAGGGAGAGCCTTCCCAGGGACCTACACCATACTCACTCAGGGTCCAGGCTGGGCAGGGGGGGGCAACATCTTGCACTGACACAGTCTGGGCCCTAAACCCTCCTCCACTGCTGTGGCTGAGAAAGAGGGGAGACTACTTAAGGATCTGTATGCATTTTTACTTTCTCAGATTTTGTTGGCTGGAACATGGCTCATCTCAACTGTGAGGGAGTTGATAAATACAGTGGAGCAGATAGAGCACTTGTACTGGGGAAGAACTGCTGTGTGGGTCACCTTCAGAGAGAAGTCAGAACCATCACTGTACTCTGGAGAGGCAATACGTGGGAGCAGAGTGCTGGCAGCGCTGGAGGTGGGGCCTGCTTACACTCTGGATATGTTTTGAAGGGGGACCCAGAAAGATTTACTGATGTCATGGATGACTTCCAGATATTTTACCTTTCCTGCTATCTGATCTCCCATACTATATGTGGTTTCTTTGTGAAGCTGGTTCATTTTTCACTTTTCCATCAAACTGGAAACTGGATGTTCAGTACCTATTTTTTAAGTGGCAGAACAATTTAGCCACCTATCTGTTTTACAAAATGGGCATTATTTGTAAAGAGCAGTTACTCATTGCTGCAGAGAATAGCTAAAATATTGTCTTGGTGGGTTACTGTGGTAATGATGAGTGTGAATGACATGCTAATGCCGTGGACTTGGAAAAGACGGTTAAGACTAAAGGTACAGTGTGACCACTAGGTAGAGTAAGAAAATTGCTCTTTTCCCTCTGGTACCTGTCTTCAGTCATTTTTACTTCTTTTCTCTCCACCATAGAACAATTCAAAGAAAATGAATCTGCTAGATATAAATAATGCATTAAACTTGTATTTGTTAAAGTCACACTCTGCATCCTTTCAACAATGACCTGTTTTCACAACGTGAAGTGGTGAAAGCCGGAGTGAAGTCAAGTGCTGGTCATCAGAGGACAAGGCTATCTCAGGAAAATGAACTTATTCCCGTGTTTACTTACATTCTGTAGTCTTAAGTGTCCGATTATTTAGTTGTTTTAAAGTACTTAGTTACTTGAAGGATTATTTAAAATAGAAATAAAAATAAACTTTCCTGATGATGCTATTGTGATGAGGTCAAGTAATTCACACTCTGGAAAACATTTGCTTGCCTCTCATGACCTGAAAACACAGACTTCGTTCAGTGTCAGGTGTAGACTCAGTAATGCTGAAGTGCCAGTGTCTACACATATGTAATATGATGCCAGAGTAGGGACATGTCAGTCAACTGGCTGTAGGAGTTGAAGACACAGAGAGTGCGAGCTGACCTCATGTGACTGACGGGTCATCCCATTGCGACAAGACACCATGGGATCTTGAGAGGCCATGTGGCTGGAGCTAGAGAGTGGGTTACAACTGCACCAGAAGGTTAGCTTGCGAACAGCCTGTGCTGTCATGCTGAGTTCTATGTTAAGAGATTTGGGGAGTTTACAAAAAAGAAGGTATCCCCCCCGCCAAAGGGAACAAGTACAAGGCAATGGAGATGGCCCAGGTACTTGGGTCCCTGCCACGCGTGTGGAAGACTGGGATGGAGTTCCAAGCTCCTGGCTTTGGCCTGGACCAGTTCTGGCCCTTGTGGAGGGAGGGGAGGTTATCTGAACTCAGCACTATCCTGGTGTCTTCTCTTTCTACAAATAGAAGGGAGAAGTTCAAGATTTATTTTGTTTTGTGAAAGAGACAAAAACTAATACCTGCCAGTTACTGGGGATTTTGTTTCTTAGCCATAAAGTACTGACATGCAGAAATCTGGTAGAAAAAAAAAAGTGAGGGGCACAAAACTTGTTTTGGAGCTGCATTTGCAAAGCAAGCACTTTGTTACAATTCCATGGAAATGGTACTTAATGGAAATGGTACTTCATTACAATTCCATGGAAATGGTACTACTTATAAGTATTTATATAGGACTAAGAAAATGTCAGCTGTCATATCTGAAACTAATGATTCCGTGTGGAGTGACTTGGAAGGAGCAGATGGAAACTGGGGCTTGAGGACTATTGGTGTCACACATGGAAGTGTATTCCTATGCTTCAGAATAGCAGAGATAGAAAAGAACTGATTTTAATCAATAGAAAAGCTTAAGGTCTTGTCCTAGGACTTGGTCTATTTTTGTTTTTATTTTTAAAAATCAAGCCAAATTCTGTTTGAGGTTATGTTAAAAATGTTCTTCATTGTGTTGCCAGGAGGCCAAAAACTGGGACCCCAAAGAGCACAAGTTGTCAGGTTCCCAGTAGAAGCAGAATTGCTCAGAGATGTCTGCTTCCTGCATCCCAATGGGTGAAGTTTAGACTTTATTTTGTATTCAGGGCTAGTGAGTTAATATTTTTAGTATTAGAAATATAACCCCTGTATACCAACACAGAACAGACCCTGTCGGAGAAAAATGCATGAGTACAACAATGTCGCAGAAACTTTGGAAAGTAGAGTAGAAAACTATCGCTCATAATCCTAACTCCTTAATAGTCATTAATTTTTGTATCATATATAAATGCCTGAATACATTTTTGTGTGTCTTGTGTATGCTTTTTGTGTGTAATTAGTATTCATCAGAACATTGCCTGTTTACAGTATTATCATCAAAAATTATGTTACTGACTTAATTGTGTAAATGATCTGTCAGTGTAGTTTTCTTCAGAGATGAAAGCCAGGGTAACAGAAATCCTGTTCACTGGTCAAGGTTGTATATTTTAAAATTTTACCTTTTGTTTCCTTCACCTCTCTGATGCCTCATTGAATGTGCCGTATGTCATGACGTGGGGTTACATTTAGGGTTACTGTTTAATACTTTTTCTCTAAACTACTGTTTAATACTTCTTTTAAAAGCTCTCTGTGGAAGCTCGTAAAGAGATGACCATAAAGGCCATTAAGACAGTCAAACATTTTATTGAGAAGCCAAGGAAAAGAAATGCTGAAGAAGACATTCAGGAACCTAGTGATTCCAGAATTACCTATGCAGATACTCTGAACCACCTGGAAAAATCACTTTCTCACCTGGAAACCCTCAGCAGTAGCTTCATTGTTTCCATGAAGAACAGTGAGCAGGTAACTTAACTGGAAACTTCTGTGTTTCATTTATCCTTTACAGATCAGTTGGTAGTTTTGATAGGATTTTCAGACTTCAGCAGGTATCTTTGAAAATGGTTCCCAAACCTTAATCCTTTAACCTGCCATTGACCACTTTATTGTCAGTTCTCCATTCACCTCTTTCATATGAATTTGACCTCACTTTCAGCAGTTGATTCCTGGGGAGGAAGGAGGGACAGGGGAGAGGTGGGGATGGCGCCGGGAGCTGGATGTTGGGCAGGTGCCTTGGGATGGAGGAGTTGTGTCCAAAGTTAAGAAATGATAAGGACAAAGGTGCTCGGGCTCTGCTTCTAGCTGGTAGGTGTTTTGCTTTCCAGCTCAATGAAGGTTGGAGTTTTTAACCTCATTTTCAGAACTAAATAAAAAGTAGCCTCCCATGTCTGCCTCAATAATTTTGTTAAATGTGTTTACTTGTTATCCTGCTTTTATGTCAGGTTTCCAATATGACTTTATTACCAATATGGATGTTTTGGCTAGGAAGTATTCCTGATTGGTTTCCAGTTGAGACTCTCTTGGGTTTCTCAGAAACACCGTGATGAGGCTCCAGAGTCCCTGTCTGTGACCAAGTTTGGAATCCATGTGTTAGGCTGTACAAGGACACCATAAGCCCCCTGAGGCCCACAGAGATTGTGTTCTGTGTTTTAATAGTCTTGGAAGTGGACAGATCAATAAGTAAATCATTTTGATACAGGAGTGCAGATACGTGAGTAGTATTCTGTTATCCCCCCCTTTTATTTTTCTTAAGCCTTAATGTTCACTGAATTGTGTTCTTGGTTTGGAGAAAAATATTCCAGACTGGAACACCAGTTAGTGTAGAGGAATTTAGATAATGAACAAATGGCGGACTTCAAAATTTGTATGAGACACATAAATGCAGACCCCTCATTGAAAGATGTGAGGAAAATTTACATTTGATAGCAGTTTTATTTCATTTTATCTTTTTCAGTGTCTGTTAGCCTATCAAGTGAAGAACACTAAACAATGGTATGAACAGAAAAGAAGCCTTTGCAGAGACCGAATTGGCTTTACCAGTCTTGATAATACGCTGACATTCATAGTACCACAATCCATAATTACAAGAACTAACCTACAATTTGAATCTTCAAGTACAAGTGGTTTATACTTATTAGTATAAAATTTTTAAGATACTTGTTTATATTTAAAATCAAAGATACTGTATTAAAATCCAGAGGATTAGCATCATTCTCCTTGGAACGAGTGATGCTTTTTAGCAGTTGGAATAGTGTATGTGGATACAAGGAGGTTACTGATACAAACATCTGCTTGTATCATCCGGGCCACACAGCTGCCTATGAGTGCCATGCTGGCATTCCACGGATGGTCTATAATAGAAGACTCTTTTTTACTAAATTGGACATTAATCAGTTTGTATTAAGGCACCTTTCTAAGAAATGTCTAGAAATAACCTTATATAATTTACACAGTGAAAGACCCCCCCCCCATAAATGTTAGTGTAATCTGAGTCAAAGATCTTTATCCTGTGGAGCCTTTGTTCCCTCTTCTCATAGAAATTACCCAGCTAACTCACAGATTTTCTAAAATGGAAGAAATTTCACAGTGGGGAGAATGGTAAGAGAGACCTTATATGACGAACGTACAGCTTCAACAGTCATCAGAATGTGACCAATCTTACTGCATGCATTCCCCCATCTACCCTCCCCTCTGTCCTTTAGATTTTTAAAAACACACACCAGTCATCTTATTTTATCCATAAATACTTTCATTGAAACCTAACCGCTGTAACATACTACAACCAAAAAATTGACAGCAGTTCTTCAGTGTCATCAGATATGCAGTCAAGGTTCAGGTTTTCACAGGATTATTTTGAAAGACACAACTGTATGCTCAAGATTCCTAGGGAAACTAAATAACCTGGAAGTGTTCTTGTCACTGAGTGATCATAGTTGGCACGCTTGGAAACAGTAGCGTTAGTCCTGATTCTTAAACTATTTGTTGTAATTCATTTTCACAGATATTATCGAAGGGAGGCAGGCAGAGTGGCACAAAGGGAGCCCATAGTCAATTGGATTCTAATCCGAGCTCTGTTAATTACTAGCCATGTGACTTTGGGCATGTTATTTAATATCTTTGCTCTTCAGTTTCCTTTTTGATAACATGGAGCTAATTAAAAGTTCTTGCATGATTATTGTAAGTATTAAGTTAGACAACCGTATGTATAACACCTGAGATTATAAGGCTGATGCTCAGTAGATTATTAGGTGGTTGTAATGCTATAATGATAATCAGGAAACTCATACGTACTAAGCATTGCTCTCTGCCTGACATTGTTCTAAGGGACTGGCCTGCGTGTTAACATTTGCAGTGCCCTCTGTTCGCAAGACTGTTGTTTTCCTCTTCATTTTGCAGATGCTGGAATTTGGGATCACAAAGGCCCTCTGAGTAATAAATGATAAAGCAAAGGTTTGCCCTTAAGCCTGCTTGGATTTGAGCTGCTCTTAATGACCAAGCAGTGCCTTCAGTATTTGGTTTGAGGATCTTCTCAATGTGTTTCACTGTGTACATGTAGACATACTTACTTTCTATGTAATGCTTAGGTGATGTTACCGTGTCTTTGCAGGAGACACTGCAGAAGTATAGTAGCCAATATGATCTGTCCCGATCAGAAAAAGGGAAAATTCATGATCAAGCTGTGACCATGTGCTTAGACGGTCAGCCTCTGAAAATGGTTCAGCAGCTTCTGGAGGTGGCTGTTGGCCCTCTTGACATCTCACCCAAGGATATAGTGAAGAGTGCAATCATGAAAATAATATCTGCCTTGAGGTAAGCTATCAGCCCGAGAGGAAAGCCGAGGATACTTCGCTGTAATAGTACCTGCCTAAGCCCTCCCTAAGCTTCAGAGTTCTGAAAGTCTGAAGTCTTAAAATATACTGAGAATGGAGATCCTGATAATGTTTGTCATTGGTGTTAGTATTAACGTGTGCCATGTTGAGAAGCTAACTTCTGATTGGTCTACTCTCTATTCCCTAGATTATTCTTGAAATATATATGGTCAACACAGAATGGCACATGAAGCAGGTAGCTAAGTGCCACACTGCCCTGTGACTTCCATGTGGTTTCTTAGATCTTGCCTTTTCTGATTTCCTTTGTGGGTAGCAGTGGGGATGGTCCCAGGAGCTTCTTTTGAAGTACAGAAAGCAAGGTTAGTCATACGCTGGAGCCATTAGACACAAGCTAAGTGTCTTGGGACATTATTTACCTGCAGTTAATCACAGAAGCGCGACAATTGAGAACTCTGGCTTTATGCTGATATGCTGTCGCCTTGGTATAGGAAGGCATCTGAGAGGATTAGAAGAGAAGGAAAAGTGAAAGAAAGAAAATAATGAGGCATCAGTTGCTTTCTGTGAATAATGCAATTAGGCTAAAAGATTTAGTTGTGTTTAATTTATTCTCCTTTTAAGCATTCTTTGTAATTCTGTATTGCTCTTGAGGAACTTTCTGATTAAGTGCGTGTCAGTTTTCTGCAGCTGAACTGAAATCAAATGAGCCTTTATCAGTTTAATTACCCCAGCCTCATCCAGTTGTCACCTTAATGCTCTGAGGTATCTGGTAATTTTACATATTGGGAGAGACATAAAATATGATAGCAATTTTTAGAAAGAACAAATGCCAAATTTAAAAAGTTTTATTATTAGCTGATTATGATTTTTTGTTTTTGGTTTGAAGTGCCACTCTACTCTTTCAGATGATCCCAGATATGTTTGCTATATTTTGTATTTGTTGGCTTATAGTTATCTTTTTTACTAATTCTTAAGCTTTAGATGAAGCTCACAAAAACTAGCATTTTGAAAAATTAATGTCTTGATGACTTTATTTCCTAAAAATTGCATGCTTGCATTAATAATGAAAATATACTCTGTGATGTTTTTGTAGTTACAAGTCTATGCCTTGGTTTCCACTACTAGAGATTTGGTTCTGATCTGATAAATGGTATACTGGGCAGACAGATAACATTCAACAAGTGTGAACCGAGTCTTTCACGGTAGTCGGATAAAGGCGCATGAGGAGTTCATGACCTCTTTTTTAGATTCAAAGGAATAACTGTTGATATCTATAATATTTGCCTTTTAGGATGTTAGTAGATTTATTAGGCACAAAATGACAGACATGGAAGTAACAAAATCCAGTTGTTGATTTAAGTCATTTAATCATTCAGAAAACTCATGTAAAACGTTTTTGCCTGTGTTGTAATTTCAGAATTCACTAGCGTTCCAGGCATACACATCTATAGAATGGGCAAAATAAGTACTTTCTTATGAGCTGTGGGGATTATTAAATGGCAGAATTGTAAAACACTTGGAAGTGCCTGGTACCTAGTGAGTAAATACTGTTTGTTGTAAATAAATTATTTTGATCATTTTTATATATTCATTGTTTAAAATAGTTCATATCTTTAGCTTTCAATGAACAATTTTTGAATGACAGAATCCAAGTAGATTTTGGGATTGTCTTGATAGGAAAGCAGGCAAATATTAAAGCAGAGAATGTTTCATTTTCATATCCTTAACTCCTAGTACAGGGCTTGGTACATTTGTAAATGGACATCTTAGAACACAAATGACCATGAACAGACAGTGTACTGTGCCAGAAGCCACTGGCTTCATTGTAGGGTGTAAATGTCATGCATGTTTTTGAGGCCCAAATGCTCCTCCTTTGAATTCGTTTTTCTCACATTTTTTCCCCCAGTGGTGGCAGTGCTGACCTTGGAGGGCCCAGGGACCCTCTCCAAGTTCTGGAAGGTGTTGTTGCTGCAGTCCATGCCAGTGTGGACAACGGGTAAGATGAGAGCAGTGTCTTCATCTAAAGGCTTTCCTCGGGGTCTAGATTATTTTAAAAACAAACAAAAAAGAGAGATTTATTTATTTATTTGTTTATTTATTCTAAAGGCAGAGTGACAGAGAGAGCGTTGGGGAGAGACAGAAACAGAAAGATCCTCCATCCATTGGTTTACTCCCCAAATGGCCATACCAGCCCAGGCTCTGGCCAGGTCAGCCAGTAACCCAGAACTCTGTTGAGGTCTCCCACGTGGTGGCAGGGGCCCATGCACTTGGGCTGTCATCTGCTGCTTTCCCAGATGCATTAGCATGGAGCTGGATAGGAAGACGAGCAGATGGTACTCGAACCAGCACTCTGATATGTTATTCCTTGTTGTACATGATGGCTTAACCCACTGCACCACAATGCCAACCCCTTAGATTGCCGTTAATATCCATATTTGTGAGGATTCCAAGATTAAACAACACTTGTTTGCAGAAGAAGAACTGAGGTCTTTCTGTATAGCTAAGGAGTGGCTTTACCTCTGGAGACAATTTTCCCTGCTTGGTGTTAGCCCCATAAGTTCTAGGAGAAACCTTGAGTTCAACCTTGCTTGCCTTGAAAAACTTTAAGTTCAATATGCTGTCTGTGAGGGCTCAGAGTGTTACAGGCTTTATATACTCTAGAAATGTCCATACTTTATAACCCTTGAAAGATATGCATCTCTTATACCATTGTTAGAATTTTCGTTCAGGTGTGTTAGAAAGGAGGGAACCAGCTGAGCACTGCAGGTATAGCAGAGAGCATGGCCGGGAGAGCGACTGCCTGGGAAATCCTTAGGCTCCTCCTGGAGTGTGTGTATGGCTGCTGCCATTCCAAACCTGGCCTGTCAGTTCCCATCTTGCAGCTCCCCAGGAAGCTGATAGCCACAGGGCAGACTCCTGCAGGCAAGGCTGACTGGATGATTTAACTGGGCCTGCCATTGGCCCCTGTCCCCAGGACCCCTCGGTTTTCCCCACTGGCTGCATCTCAAAAACATTAAAAACAGTGTTTCATCTGTGGTTTTCTACCAAAATAATCTAACAATACAACATGGTTCTGTTGAATACAGACTGTGGTTTTAAACTTTGAAGAGAAAGACTAAGAAATAGAGAAAAGTATGTTTCTGTTTTTTATTCTAGATACACAATATAACAAAGAACCAAAAATCTTAAGTGAGCATTTATTTTTTTCTTTGTTTAAAAAATAAAAAGAACACAAAGTCCTAACTTTTATTCCCAGCAAGTAGTTTTTGAATCTGTGCAGTTAAACCTGGTGCTCTCTGGTTGGATTTTCCTTCCCAATAAAGTGCCTGGTGGGATCTACTGTGGAGCTTGTTTGTTTTCCAGCTAGTTTCAAGGAAGGTCTTGCATCTGATATGGAGATTCTAGCTCTTTGGAAATAATGCTCTCAGCCCATACGTTACTTGGCCTGACCCAGCTGCCTAACCCCTAGGAGTCTATGCCAGGTCTTCAGTGTCCCTCTTGTTGACCACACCCAGCCTTCTCAGTCCCAGTCGCGTAACACCCTAATACTGCACAGCATCTGCTTCCATGGTGCATAACCTCTGCTCAGACAGGTGATCAGCTCTCACAGACACAGGTGCATTGACATTCCCCAAAGGGATGTTTATACCATCTCACAGTATCCATCCTGCAGTATTCCTGGCAGGGAGATTGCATATCAAGTAAGAAGTGGAGTGTATGTGGTAATGACCACCACCAAGTATTTGGTTTTGTAGCTAATTTTTAGATGGCTTATTTGTATCATTATCAGCATGTCTTCTTTTCACTTTTTATATTGGTCCAGGTATCATTTACTTTGTAATGTCAGCTCCTACCTCACCCAGCAAGCCCTTTTTCCTTCTCCTTTTGTCTGTGCTAATATTGAACTACAGATAATGTGAGCACTCAGACAGCTCACCAGTGGAGAGTTCCCCCTCCACAAGAACGACTTTCCTTTTCAGCTTAATGACGTTCTTGCCTGTAGACTTTGGCTTTCGGTATTCTAAGGGCATGAAATTATGTAAAAATCTTATGTAACATCTACAACTAAAGACAGGATGAGGATGGGCATTTGGCACAGTGATTAAATTGCTACTTGGGTCACCTACTCACGTCTCTAGGTTTGACTCCTCTGCTTCTTACTCAACCTTTTGCTAATGCACACTCTGGGAGGCAGCGAGTAATGGATGAACTAGGTGGGTCCCTGACTATTATGTGTGAGACCCAGACAGAGTTCCAGGAGCTTTGGCTCAGCCCAGCCCTCACTGTTGTGGGCATTTGGGGAGTGAACCAGCAGATGGAAGGTCTCTCTGTTTCTCACAGTCACTCTAACTCTCACTGTCATTCTCCAATTTTCAAATAAAATGAAAATAAATAAATAAATAAATAAATATCTTTTTAAAAGATAGGACAAGATAATTAACTATGCAGTGTCTAAGTATGTGTTCTCCCATTATTTATTTATGTGTATAACCTCATATATATGGTAAGAAATCATAAAATATAATCAATAATCTAAAATATAATAAATTTCTGGCTTGTTTTAAGAGTTAGTTTATTAGTTTACTTGAGAAAACTAGGGTTGGGACAAGTTGTTTGGTTCAGGAGGTTAAATTCTAGACTCCTGGTTTCACCTTGGCCCAGCTGTGGCTGCTGAGGGCTAGGCTGTTGCAGGCTTTTTTTTTTTTTTTTTTTTTGACAGAGTGGACAGTGAGAGAGAGAGAGACAGAGAGAAAGGTCTTCCTTTTGCCGTTGGTTCACCCTCCAATGGCTGCCTGGCCGGTGCACCACGCTGATCCGATGGCAGGAGCCAGGTGCTTCTCCTGGTCTCCCGTGGGGTGCAAGGGCCAAGCACTTGGGCCATCCTCCACTGCACTCCCTGGCCACAGCAGAGAGCTGGCCTGGAAGAGGGGCAACCGGGACAGAATCTGGCACCCTGACCGGGACTAGAACCCGGTGTGCCAGCGCCGCAAGGCGGAGGATTAGCCTAGTGAGCCGCGGCGCTGGCCTTGTTGCAGGCATTTGTAAAGTGAACCTGTGCATGGAAGATCTCTGTGTCTCTGTCAGGTACAGTGAAAATAAATAATGAAAATTTTGTTAAAAAACAAAACTAAGGTTGTTGTAAATTCAATAGCTAACATACTAGTGTTCTAAAATTTATCTGTTTAGCCTAGAATTAAGAAAATCATACTATCACATATTTAATAAAACAACAAAAACACCTAAAGAATACCTCTTGGTCTATGCCACAGCTGTGGACAGTTCTATTCAGTAACTCACTTCACGCTGAAAAAAATTTTATCATAGAAAAATTATCATCTGCATCTTATAGCTTAAGAAATGAAGCTCAAAGAGGTTCTGTGACTTGTCCGTGGTCACCCAGTAAGGGCACACTGTGATGAGGGCCAGCCATGGAGCGTAAGGTGCTTCTCACAGTGCACTGTGCATAGGAGTTTCCTGGGGATCTTACTGGAGCAGACATTGATTGAGTACATCTGGGTGGGGCCTGACATTCTGCAGTTCTAATCAGCTCCGTGGACTGAACTTGGAATGGCATAGTCTTACACCATTACAGTGCTCAGCTTTCTGGGCTCGTCCACCTGCTTCTGTTCTGCCCTTGCCTTCTCTTCCTGCTACCTGCTTTCATATTCCTTGAAAAAAAAAAATGTCCTAATGGAATGACTCACCACTGTGAACCTGTGTTTAGTGATTCTACAAGAGCATATGGAATTAAATCCACTAGAGAACAGACAATTAGTGAAGAGCGCCTCTCTGCAATATTCAACAAAAGAAGAGATTCCCTTCAAAACTATTGGGAGCTTTGTTTGTTTAAATTGTTTCTCAACTACAGTGTCAATGCCAGGTGTTTTAAAGCTCTGTATATATTGGACAGTGACAGACAACTCAGGTACATTGGACATTTTGGAATTACTTAAGAATTTCTTATTATTTTAAAAGCACAGAAAAGACCAGGAATGAACGAAGGAGGGAGAGAGGGAGGAAGAAGATCCTACTAGCACAAATTGAATCAGATTTCTTCTGTTCTTCCTGCTGCGTGAGGCTGCATATATTATCTGATAGTCTCTTAGCATCCATGGCACGCAAGCATTATGTTCTGTAATACTGAGCTCTCCTGAAAGCCACAGTCACAAACCAGGATGGCGGAGCCACTCCACCATGGCAGTGTTTCATGGATGACATCAGGTCATTGTAGCTATCCAACAGCCATTTCTGCTGTACAACAGCAAGGTTACTATTGAGACTCAGAGTCTGCTACCCCCTCATCTATTGATAGATAGAACTGTCTGTTTACCCTAACACCTTGTATTCATTATTTTGATTTAGCACCAGGACAGGGGCCAAGCTTTTGGTTATAGTATATGTTTCAAAGCAACCATAGACAGGTGATTGGTGCTTATCAAAATGAGGTTGGATTTGTGTGCACACCAAAATTATTGCCTCTCTAAGGATTTTTCTATTAATATAACTTGATCATGATTATTTTTAGGTTATACTTTTCTGTGTTACTGCAGTGCCACTAATACAGTTTGTGTTCATTTATCTACAGTTCTCTGTTACTCCTTGCCAGTTGTCCCCCTGTTTCCTGGGAGCTGATAAATAGAACACGATCTCTTGGGAAATATCACCCCACCTAGCATTATTGTGGTAGGAAAGTGGGCCTAATGTGCGAATCAGTGCATTATAACAGCAGGCCTACATGGAGTATGGAGCATGAGTGTTTGTGTTCCTCACTGTTGGCCCACTTGCATTTGCTTGGCCCTCCATCTGTCTCTCCCTTCCTTCTCTGGCATCCTAGAGATCACAGCTCACAGACTCCTCCTGTTGTGAGGCCAGTTAGGGAAATGAACTGCATACACTAGGCTTCAAAGGAGGAAGGCAGTAGTAGAGCCCAAGGACCTAGTAAGCTCCCCTGGCCTCCTTTAAAGCAGGCAGATGATGCCTTGGCCCCAACCTGTT